CCCCCACACACACACATTTCCCCCTTCATTCAGATTGCTGAACAATCAAAGCCAAGAGGTAAAAGTGTACAAAATGAGAGGTTTCTCACTTTGACTCTGTAAAATTGAGACAAAGGTGTGCTATGAAGCTCATTAAAAAGTTTCTCACCTCTTTTAAAACGGAGGAATAACAAAGTGTTGAGCGTTATTACTAAGTCAGCATTATTTGTGTACACTCTTCTTTTTTTTTTTCTCCATGAAATTAAATACTTTAAAAATGCTGTCCCATTTGAGCTTTAATGACAGTAACTACTGAGAACGGCCCCCTGCAGCTCACTCTGTAGAATGATAGTGCTTGGTGAGCATGCAAGCCAGGAATGAGTAAACGTGTGCATAAATGACCAGGCCAGTGATTGAGTGAAGAAATTATTGAGCGAGTAAATGAACAAATGTTTGAGTGAGTGAGCGAATGACTGAATGGCTGGGACATTGAGTATATGTCTGACTGAGTAACCGAGCTGGCTTGAAATCCACACACACACACACACACACACATCCACACACACACACACACACAGTAGAGGCAATCCAAACAAACAGCTCTAAGTGCTGCAGTGTTCGCTGGGGGACCTGGGAAAAGCCCCATCAGCCCAGTGAATGAGAGCATTCTGCCCCCTCGCAGCCTGTTATTAAAATCAATTAATGACTGGGAGGGAGGCCCCTGTAAAAGCTGACTTGTTGGGCTCTGGGGGTCTTTTGTGACACGTTGCCTTTCTGGATCACTTGTGCCATATGGAACCTCCCCTCTTGTGGCACATAACTCACTTTTATGAGGACCTCATTGGCTAATGATGGAATAGTGCATGAGCACTGAGCATGGGAGTGTTCCTGTCCCTGTTACTGTCACTCCCACTGCTGCTGTTGTCTCTGTCACTATGATCTTTGCTGAGATACCACTGTTGACTTCAGAGACAATGTCGCTGACAAGGAGTAAAAAGGATAGGGTAGAAAAAAGAAAAGAGGAAGAGCATTTTTTTTTTCCTGAGCTTTTTTTTTTTTTTTTTTTTTTTTTTTTTTTTTTTGCTGTTTGTGTAGATAGACAGACTGAAAGAGAACATCCAGGCATGGTGAGACAAAATGAACCGTGACACACACAGTTTGTCGCAAAAGCTGGGAAATCTGATGCGGCATTTACCTGCCTGTCTTTTCCTCTTTAATGTGTCTGTTTTCTACACCTACACAAATTCATAAACCTCAGATATTCACCACAAACACGCAGCGATAGATGCAAACTCAGCTCAAACAAATAGCGCCTGAATTTTGGTCCAGCTTAAGGCGAAGACAGGCCCAATTGAAGAGGAGATTGACCGTTATAGCGAAGCGTAGTGGCTCCGCAGGAGGAAGGCGGCGGTCCATTTAGCAGCGCTCAAAGAGCCCAGCACTCATTTTAGCACAGTCCCACAGGGTGAAGGGAAAGAAGACAGACTTGGTGAGAATATTTTTTTTTTACCTGTCTGCAGGATATAGCTCTGTTTTCTTGTCTTGTCTGAAGTTTTGGATATCTTTTTGATGTTCACTCTCATGAAAAGTGCCCTCTTCTCCTGCCACACAGCCACCAGCTGCACCTCTCACTCCCGCTAATGGCAGTTTAGCCTTGACACTCACACTTGGGTCACACACACATTTGAAACATGCACACCGGGCACTTTTGCACAGATCACTAACAAGGGGAATGTCTTCTCCTCTAAGATGAGTTTAGCTGACCCATCAATTTCTTTCCTCTGAAAGAACATAACATGATAATAATTCTGATAATGACATGACATGATAAGGACATGATAAGGAAGTGTAAGCTGTACTTCCATACTGTGCAGGAAGTGCTTATTGTATCGGTACAGGTGAAACGAGATGCATTTAGAGGTAAAAACAGAAATGATTATATGTATATACGTGTTTATATTTGTATGTTTTCTAGCATGTAAAAACTCTGGTGCATAGCAAATTCTTACAGCTTAAGATTAAGTCACTAAATCCCATCTTAGTACTTATAAATTGGTGTGTGTGTGTGTGTGGGGGGGGGGTGTCTATTAAGTTAATATTTGAACATTGCATTCTATTTCAACACCTAAAAAGAAAATGCTAATTGGACATAAAGTAAAAATAAATTACACTATTTGGCTTTATTTAAAAGTGTAGTCATTATTTTGCTAAATTTTAGAATATCGTCATTGTTTCAACATCATTAAAGGACTAATTCATTTTTATTACATCAGATGTATTTTGATTGGTCAAACTGTATTTTCTGGATAAATGCT